GGGCTGATTCAGCCGCCTCTTGCCCCTTCTTTCACAGATATGGATGATGATGGTGATGTTAGCAGGGGCAAGACCATGAAGAACTGAGTCCCATGTCCTCTGAAGGTAGTTGTTTTGGTGATGGAAAGAACGACATACACCTGGCCTCCAGCCATCCCTGAGTAACTGGAGCGATGCCTACAGGGGTTGTTGGTGTTGTTATCCACTGAGTTGGCTGTAGAGTTGAAAACCCACTAGATTCCAGGAATTGGAACATGATCCTTCTGGCACTGAGTCATTTTTCGTAAGTGCATTCATGTTCTGGTTGGTACCGTTAGTTTGGAAATAGCCATGTTACAGGCATCCAGGCTGATCTTAGATGCAGCAGCTGCAGCTAGAAACAACGGAGTGTAATATCAAGTGGTTCCTGTTATGTGCTTCAAGTAGCACAGCCGGGGAACCATGGTGCATGGCAGGGGAAAAGAGGAGAAATCTGTTAAGACTGAACTGAATCTTATTTTGTATTTTTTTTTTTTTTCCTGTATTTAAAAAAAAAAAAAAAAAAAAGTTTGTTCGACACGCAGCATTTCCTTTAACCCAGCATTATTGGCTCTTTGTTTTGGGCCTTTTGAAGAACAACAAAAGAATCAATAGCTATTACTAAATTCTCTGAACTGCCAAAAGAGGAGCCCTATCCTCCCCTTCTACCATGCATCTGTGACCAGGATAACTCTTATAACTGTTCAGGATGCAAGACCGTGGTCACTCCACATGATGGGACTGAGCCTGGGAGTTCTGGTCCTCCACAACATTGCCTCCTCCCTAGTGCCTAAGTCAGGGGTGGGCAAAGTCTGGCCCAGAGGCTGGATCAGGCCCATGGTAGACTCCATTTCCCAGCAGCCCCTGCCTGCATCACTGTGGCCAGTTTCCATGGAGTTCCCAGCAGTGGTGGGGGCTGTGACAGCTGGGGCCAGGATTTCCATGGAGACTGGCCCCCAGCAGCACTGGCAGGACATGTTGCTGGGTGGGGACCTGCTCTGAGACCAGGGCTGGGGTCTTGCAGCAGTGACAGCATGGTCCGGAGCCAGAGCAGAACAGCAATCTGCTGCCTGCATGCCCCAGGCAAGGGTTCACAGGCAGTGGATCACAGCTCTGCCCTGGCTCCTGACCACACTGTCACCACTGCAAGATCCCAGCCCCAGAGCAGCTCCCTGCTCAGCCACATGGGGCTGGACAGCTCCCTACCCTCACCCTTGGGCTATAAACTGCTGTTGGGCCAGGGAGGTACTCTGTGTCCTTCTACTGCTTATGGCCCCACTTCATATAGACAATTAAACATTCACTTGCCCGGGGGCTGGAACACAGGCCTCCCATCTCCTAGGGCAATGACCCTCCTTGGCAGGCCTGAAAGTTGATCTCACTCCTGTGGGACCCTCTGTATCAATGAATATTTAAATATTTTTTACAAAATGAAACAGCTGCAACAGGAGAGGTGAGGCAACCCATTTCAGAGCAGCATCTGGCCAACAGATTAGGGTACTGCTCTGACTGATGAAAAACCCAAAACTTTCCTTGGACTTGGGCAAAGTAACTCTACAGTTCTTTAAAGTGTGCCCTGGGTCTGATACAGACCTGCATTGGCTTAGCACTCATCTGCATTTGGAGGTATTTATGAATTCTCTGTTGAAGAACTGAGTACAAGTATTGCTTTTTGTTTCTCCACTCCATGAAATGGCCTTGCATAAACACAAGGGAGTAAGACCAATGTCCACACTGAAGGCAATAATGTCAAGAAACAACCTGTTGTATCTCTTAGGCATGCCCAGGCCTACACCTAGACTGGGAGGAAAGACTCCATATACAAGTCAGGCTCAGATGCCCTCTGAGGGATAAGGCCTCCCATTTCAAGGAAGCCTTTGGTGCTCCTGAATCCCTGATTGTCTCTGGGAGTTATGTACAGCAATGGGCAGAGATGCACTGGAATGGGCGACACAGTGACGTGAGGATTCCTCCTCGCTTGTAGTTTTTTGGGAAGAGTCCTCAACTCTCGATTAAAAGCTACATCCCAGGTCAACCAGGGTTCTCACTGACCTGTGTAACTCGTTGCATGTGCCGTGGCAGCAGAGTTAATTGCCTCCTGAATCAACAGGCAGGCCAATGTACATTCATGTGGTGCCTCTCTCTGCCTTCCTCTGGTCCCCCTAGCACAGGAACGGGCAAAGTCCAGCCTGCAGACCAGATCTAGCCCATGGCTGACTCCATTTCCCAACAGCCCCTGCCCGTGATGCTGCAGCTGGTTTCCACGGAGAACCCATGAGCGGGGGGGGCTGTGACTATGGAAACCTGGCTCTCCACTAAGACCGGCCCAAACAGCACTGGCAGGGTACGTGGCTGGGCAGGGAGCTGCTCCAGGGCCAGGGCTGGGATTTTGTGGTGGCGACAGCATGGTCCGGAGGGGAGACAGAGCCAAGATCTGCTGCCTGCACAGCCCTGAGCCTGGGGTCTCCATGGAAACTGGCTGCAGTGGCGTGGGCAGGGGACGCTGGGAAATGGAGTCCGGCTGCTGGCCAGATCTGCCATTTTGCCCAGCTCTGCTCTAGCAGTTTTGCCTCGTTTAATCTCCACTTGGGAAATCAGAAGCCATTTCTCAGGCTACCTACCTTGGTTATTTTCACACAAACCTTCTGAATGCTGTGGAAGAGATGCTGACATCTGTCCCCGGGTTTTGGACATTTTGGTGGGGAGTGTAAGAAGGAATTCAGAGACACCCTTACTTTAATTTCTAGGCCCAAGAGCTTTGTATTCTGTACCATCTGGAGGGACTGCTTTCAGACTCTCTGCCAAAGGCTTTTCTGCAACACAGTGCTTTGTTCAGTCTGTCAAGTTTGCTGTCACTTCACTTCTTCATAAATGTGTTCCTTTTCATCTCTAAGGGGAAGAAAAAAATACACACTGCTTGTCCCCAGGTCTCTGTGATGTGCCTGCTTCTGCTTGGTGCCTGTTAAGCACTTACAGATGAACCACTTTTCCTTGGCAACTCAGCTCAAGATATAACACTTTGGGGCCAGAATGGAAAGATGCAGAACTGGCAGGCATATGGCCAGGACAGAAACTGTCATTTGTTTCTTCAGAATTGTCTATAATATAAACTTTCTGCGTGAGAGGAGCAGTGGGCAGCAACTATCTGCAGGACAGGTGTGCAGGAAGCCTGCTGGTACACCCTCCTCCCCACTCATGGGTCTGGGACCTTGCTGAGCCACAGGATGTGGAGCTAAAGGGGAGTATGCTCTGCCTTCCCACATGAGCCACCTCTCAGCCTGGAGTCGCAAGCAGTGGAATGGCCTTTGTGACCCATAAGACAAGGGTAAAAAGGCAGCAGTTGTCAAGGAGGGGAGAAGGTGAAAGAGATTAAACCACAAATCCAAGGGCATGGTGAGTGCGGCCTGTGCCTCCCTCCCCACCAGCACCCAACTTCAACCAGTGCTCTCATTCTGGGGCACTGGTTCAAGACAATGCAGAGGGAAGGGCTTACTCTACAGAGACACTAACACATTTCACATGCTGCACTGGGATGTCCTTATCTTCCAGCTTTGGTTTGGCTTAGCGTGATTGATCACCACTCAGGAGGTTGTGCTCAAGAGGTAGAATTAGACAACCAGCATTCAAACAGTGCATGATTTGAATTTCAGATAAAGCATGGTGGCTTCATAGGGACTTAATCCATATGGGAAAGCAGCAAAAAAAAAAAATCCTTTCAAGTTTGGATTAAACTCTTCAGCCATTCCCCATCAGCTGGTCATAGTGACTGGAGACATTGCCACTATACCTTTTTACCTCACTTCTGTTGTATTTCTCTAGACAGTGCCCATTGTATTGTGCTGTGAGGGGGGAGTCTCAGTCTCACTCATAGGCTAGGGACAGAAGTTACGCATAAACCAGTTTAAGTGATCAGAAATTGGTTTAAACCTGTAACAGAACAGAAGCTCAGTGCATATAAACCAGTTTCAAAATGGCTGAAACTGGTTTGAGATAAACCTGGTTGAATGTAGTATCAGATTTAACTGATTTGGCTCAAGCCAGTTTATGAAACTTCTGTCCCAGCCCTCTTCCTGGTTCAAGTTAAATCACAGTCCCCCAGCATCCCAGCAGGCTTTCTAGCCTGGGATGGGCTGTGCCCCCCAGGCAAACCCCAGCTGCTCAAACTTACTGCTGGCTGCAACTAGGGTTTGCCAACTCTGACTGAAGCTATTCTGGGAGATTTTTATTTCCCCAGCATGACATAATGTCATTAATTGTACTGTTCAACTCGTTCACAATATCTGTCTCCCAGATTGCTTTCAATAGTCACTGGGAGATCGATGCCAATTCTGGTAGACTCCCAGCCAGTCCAGGAGGGTTGGCAACCCCAGCTGCAAATGTGGACTACAAATCTCAGAGGCAGCTGGAAGGAGGAAAAGAAAGTAGTGAGCAAGCTGCAAAGCCCTGCTGCTGTAATTTTGGACTTCAAATCCCAGGTACCTCGGGGGCAGCAGGAAGGGGAAGTGAACACACTGCCAGAGAGCCGTGCTCTAGCGCCCCCCAGCTTCTGGTCTCAGCCACTGCAGGCATGTGGCTGCAGTTCCTGAATCAAAGGTGTCTGTTTACTTCTGTTTCAATTTAATCTGTGCAGTTTAGACAAACTGCAAAGACTGAATCGATTTAGCCTCAGGCTTTTTGACTGTCTGTATTTAGCCTTACTGTCCATTTCAGAAAGACATTTGCTGCCTTTTCCTGTGTTGTAGCCCTTCCTAGCCTGTGTGAATTCAGCGCAAGCAGGATGCAGTCTCCCATCACCCATGCACAGTTTACTTTATCTGACAGCCTGCAGGATCAGGAACAGCATGTGGACAGAAATTGCATGGGCCAGTATGAGGAGAGGGTGCAAGACATCTTAGACAGGGCAGATATTTAGGGCTGTGCATATATAACCCATGTCTGGTACTCACTCTGGTACAAGGTACAGATCACTAGTGTTCTCATAGGCTGGCTTAGGAGAGGTTTTGAACCTAACAGAAAAGGAAACAGAACCACATAACACTCTGCTCTGGCAGCACTGAAAACATAGACACAGTCAGAGATGTACTAGGGCATTTACATGCCAGGCGCAGCCATTATGCATGAGGCAGTACTGGCTGCTGACCCGACAACCCCTCACCCCCTCCAGTTATGCTACTGGGCACAGTCAAACTCCACAGTTCCCCCAAAGGAATCAGCAGCCCTTTGCTCCAGCATGGAGCACTTCTCCATGGCACCAGCCCTGAGTGCAATGGACTGGCTAACCAGGCACCAGACAGGATAATTTAGGAGAGTGATAAATAAGTCCTGTTAATGATACATTAGAATATGGGAAGTGAAAACAGTTTAGGTATTGGGTATAGCCTAGTTACCTATGCATGCAGTAGCCCATGACTGGATTAGTTAATGAGCAATGTCTGTATAAAGCATGCATCCTTTTAGAGGAATTTAAATCTGTCTGCCCTTGCACCTATTCCCTCTGTCAGTTGGCTCAATTAACCAGTCAACTGTGTATAAAGGGTGTTCTAGTATAGATGCACAAAGTTTGGAAAGTGTCCCTGGGACCTACAACAGCTCTCTTAGTCCTTCCGATGCCCAAGTACCTGCCCCCTGCTCACTCCATTCCCCATTCACAGAGATACAGGTTGTGCTCATACTGCTGGCATTTGTGGGCTTCTTTGTTTTGGAGTAAGGGTTTTGAGTGGTAAAGTCACCCTGGCCCCTTAATTTAGTGTGGGAGAGCTCCCCATGGCCCTCTCAGAGACACCTGCAACCCAGCAGCAGCTCCTCCCACATAGCAAGGCAGGCCGGACAGGCCCCCATCCCACTTTCCTGATATTCCATAGGTAAGAACAACCAGAACCCTGCTCCCTCCCTGGAGCGAGCCCCTGCAGCTCTTTTTATCCATCACAAGGAGCAGAGAGAGGCACAAGCCTGTTTTTATATGATCTTTACCAGAACTCTCCATCAAAGAAGAGATTTCTGTTTCTGACTCACTTGGGTCCTGGGTGAAGCTCACTGGGATCCATGTACATAAACACAGGGTGGGGTCTGAAATCACACAAGATAATATTTCAGTGCACCAGCTGGCACCAAGAAGGTGCTCTCCAAGAGATGGCATAACTCAGTCCGTGGTGACTCCAGCAGGCCCTTGGATGCTGTTCCCTTCTGCACTGCTACCTCTCCTGCTACCCCAGGTACCTTGTCTACCCTGGCTGACAGCTGAGCAAGATGAACTTTGCCACACAAATACCCAGGATGGACCTGCCTACCTCCCACCTCCCTCACGTGCTGGGGTCAGCTGGGGCCGTGTTGGAAGCAGGAGCACAAACACCTCAGTGCTTCAAGAAACAAATATTCACAGTACAATTGTCAGATTGTAACCCTCCACATTCCCTCTGTCCATCCCTTCAGCATTTCACCCACTCCCCAGGGCCCACAGTGAGATGTTTTAGGCTCATAAGCACAGATATGGCCTTGTGCCCTGGTGTGACACAGATTACACAGTTGTAAGGTATAAGGCAGGGCTGGTTGCTACATACACAACTTGCCTGATACTGTACCAACTTTGTAACCTCCAGGCTTGACTACTGCACTGTGCACTATGTAGACTTGCCTTGAAGACAGTCCAGCAGCTGCAACTGGTGCAGAGCACAGTTACAGGCCTTCTGACGGGTGGGTCACCAAGAGCACATAGCACAGTGCTCCGAAGTCTGTACTGGTTTCCAATAGCTTCCCAGGTGCAATTAAGGTACTGGCTTTGACCTATGAGGCTGTAAATGGCCTAGACCCTATGTAACTAATAGGGCTGTGTGAGGCTTCGGACAGAGCTTCAGATCCGGAGAAGCTTTGGACACTTCGGGGTCCAAAGCAGCACATCCGGGTCAAAGCGCTGCCTTGTTCTGCTTCCCAAAGAGCTTTGGAGCTGCCTCGGAGATTCGGCCATAGGGTATAATGGGGAAACAATAAAAATATCTATAACTTTGTTGTTTTTTGTCTGACTTGGATGACATTTTCAGGAGTGGTAGATTCTGCAGAGAGGGTGAAGCCTGCCAAGTGTCAAGAAGATCGGTGCAGGGGTTTGGGGGGAACAGCACCACAAATTCTTGAAAGCAAAACTCATGTCACATCTAGGCATTACAATATAGTGGGGTGAAAACTGTAGGGCTGGTAGCTCTTACTGAGGCCACAAAACCTGCCAAGTTTCAAGAAGACCGGTGTAGGTGTTTGGGGGGAACTGCCCCTCAAGCTGCGAACAAGCAAAACTCATGCCACGGGTGACACTGTGTGTGTTAAGGCGCAGCGGTGACAGCGGCAGGGATGGTGGCCCCTGCTGTGGCCACGACACCTGCCAGCTGTGGAGGAGCTGGGTGCAGGGGGCTCTGGGGCCCTGCACCCCCAGCTGCTGACAGGCAAACAGCCATGACAGGAGTTTGGCTTTCAAGAATTTGGGGTACAGTTTCCCCCAAACCCCTGCACCGATCCTCTTGAATCTTGGCAGGTTTCATGCTCCCAGCAGAGGCTACCATCTCTGCAAGTTTCATCCAAATCGGACAAAAAACAACAAAGTTATAGATATTTCATTGATTCCCCCATTATACCCTATGGCCGGATCTCCGAGGCGACTCCGAAGCTTCGGAGCCGCTTTGGCCAGATCGAGGAAGAAGCCCGGTTGGAGCTCCGGATCATATCGCGGCCATCTGAAGCATCCAGATCCAAAGCTGGATCGGATCACTGCCAACTTGCACTGGCCTAGTAACTAAGGGACCACTTTCTCCCTTATCTCCCATGATAATCCCTAAGGTTAGCTAAGAGCGATCTCTTGCAAATACCTTCAATGAGCCAAGCTTTCTCGGCAAAAACATGTGGGATGTCATTCTTAGTAGTCACCCCTCAGCTCTGGAACTCCCTTCCCTTTGAGGCCTGCCAGAGGCTGACCCTGATTATCTTCAGGAAGACCTTCCTGTTGGGGCGAGCATGTAGCAGGCAAGGTTCAACCGTGATATAGGTTTGGGGAGTTGCTATATAGTTTATCTTAGTGCTCTGTTGGCTTTTATAAGTTGCTTTATCTTGCTTGCTTGTTTTCTCAGTTGTTTCACTTCCTTTCGTTTGGGCAGCAAATACATCAAATCAATAAACAAACAAACCCATAAAAGCAGATAAACGAATTGTGAAACTTCCTAATTGTACACACCCTCTACTTCGCCACTCAAGGTACCAAGCCATGTCTTGGCTTCTTGTACAAAATTCAAACTATGAAATGACACGGACATCGTTGGGTTCCAAATCATGCAGTATAGCTGTGTGTGCATAGAGCTGCTCTGGTGGCTTCTGCAATAGTAAACCAAGGGCTGCTATAGGGCTCCCAAACTATGAACACTACATGGTTTTACCACGTCAAATTTTACCCTAAATACAACTGCCATGCACAGATCTACAGAACTGTTCATACCCTGAGTTAAAATTGTTTCAGCCAAAACACCTTGGGATTAAGGAAGTGGGGTCCTGAGAGACTGCCCCATGGCCAAGGACCCAGCAACTTCAGAGGTCAAGACTCTGGGATAGACCCACCAGATGAACTGCCCTAGGACTGCTGCTTAAAGAGCAGCCCACCACCAGGGCAGCCAGCCATGCCCAGGATCCCTGGATCTCCTTCATGCAACTGGAAGTTTAAAAGCTGCAAGAGTCCTGTCTCAAACTAGAGGAACAGGGCCTGGGATCCCTGGCCTCTGCTCTGTGAAGTTAATATTCACTGAAACTGTGAAATTGAGATGAATATGTTTTTGAATGAGCTACCACAGGGTTGGGGACCATATTTTGCCTCAGAAACTCTGTGCTTCAGTGTTTCCAAAACTTTTTTTTTTAATTTCCACTTCCTCAGGGATTGCAAACATTGCTGGTTTCTCCTGGATTCAGAATAAAACCTAATTTAAAAAAAAGAGATTCCCCATAAAACGGAAATCCTGTTTCTCAGCCAGCTCTGACTATGCAGGACAGACCAGCTATCAGACTTGCCTCTGCCCCTTTCACCTGTCCGAACACACCCCTTCCCAGATCATTTCCCCTCACTGCTGGCAGGTGAAGATGCAGGTCTTGGGAAAAGAAAGGATTTTCCTCTCCCTTCTCCAGTTATACTTACTGCCAACAACATTTTGACACTTACGGGATTGGGGGAGCTTCTTTCTTTTTCTTGTGAAATAGCCTTAACAATAAGAAAAATTTGTTAGCAGAAGGGCTACAGGGAGACGAATATATTTTTCACTGAGCCACCTCCAAATCAGGGACAATTTTTGCCTTAGAAACTCTGTGCTTTAGTGTTTTCAAAACAATTTTTAAAAAATTCCACTTCTTCAGGATGGCAAACATTACTGGTTTCTCACGGGTTCAGAATAAAACCAAATTTCAAAAAAGGAGATTCCCCATAAAATCCTGTTTCTCAGCCAGTTCTGACTACGCAGGACAGACCAGCTTTCAGACTTGCCTCTGCCCCTTTCCCCTGTCTGAGCACACCCCTCCCTAATCATTTCCTCTCAGTGCTAGCAATAGAAGATGCTAATCCTGGACAATCAAAGGATTCTCCTTTCCCTGTCCCAGTTATCCTTACAGCTAAAAACACTGATTCTGTGACACTTACTGGAAGGGATTGGCTTCTTTTACTTTCTTTTTAAATTTCCTTAAAAAATAAGAAAAGTTTGTTAGCAGAGGGACTGCAGGGAGGGAATGATGCTCTTTTCCACAGGAACATGCATCTTGCTGGTGTAAAGGAAGCACTCAGCCTGGGGATGGCTCTGGGCTACCAACCATTTTCCTTTCAGGTTGGCCTGGGAGTCCAGCCCCTCCAAGGGATGTGTGTGTGTGGTGGGGGGATGGACGGACCATCAGGAATTGTCATTAGTAACCCTCTGTCTTAACCATCAGGCAACAAACAGATCAACTCTCCTTGGGATTCAGCCTCCCCAGTCTTCCCCAATGACCCCAAGGAGGGGAAGGGGTGTGCCTGGCTTATCAGCTCTGCCCTCCTTCTGCAACAGTAAACCAGGAAGCTGCTTGAGGGCTCCCAAACTATGAGCACCACACCCCAGGCTTTCCCCTACATACAGCTGCCACACAGAGCTGCAGCACAAGCTTTACCCTACATACAGCTGCCACACAGAGCTGCAGAAATGTTCACCCATTGAATTCAAATTGTTTCAGTCAGAACACCTCGGCCTTGAGGAAGGGGGCTCCTTAGAGACTACCCCATGGCCAAGGACCTAGCAATTTCAGAGGTCAAGTGCACTGTCAGGTGGCCTGGCTCTGGGGACCAACTCTGGGGCAGCCAACTCTGACTGCACAGGACAGACCAGCTACCAGACTTACCCCTGCCCCTTTCACCCATCTGAATGAACACACCCCATCCCACAGCATTTCCCTCAATGCTGACAATTGAAGATACAGATCCTGGGCAAAGAGAGGATTCTCCTTTTCCTGCTCCAGCTATGCTTACTGCCAAAAATATTGTGACACTTACGGGATAGAAGCAGCTGCTTTTGCTTTCTTTCCATTTAGCCTTAAAATAAGAAAAGGTTGTTAGCAAAGGGGCTGCAGGGAGGGGATGATGCTCTTTCTCACAGGAACATGGGTCTTGAAAGAAGCACCCAGCTTGGGGATGGTTCTGGGTCATCGACCGCTTTCCTTGCAGGTAGGCAAAGGAGTCCAGCTCCTTTAAGGGATGTGAACGTATTGCGGGTGGGGGCAGCACAGGGGGATTGTTGTTAGGGACCTTCTAATCTGCCTTACTTTGAGAAGGAGCTTTCATCTGCTGCCACATCAGGCATCAGACAAACTCTCCTTTGGATACAGCCTCCCCCATCTTCTCTAATCACCCCAGAAAGTGAGGGAGGGTACCTGGGTTTATTACCTCTGCTCTTGCTTGGGGGCGGGGCAGGAGTATTGCATCTGTTACTCACTTTTTCCACCAGTCTCTGCACCAGAAAAAAGCTGCTACAAGCAAGAGGGCAGTGAGAGAACACACATTGAGGATGGCCAAGGCGATCATGAACACCGCTAAAGATCCCTGGATCACCACACCGGGGCTGTTGCATTCCTCTAATGTTGCACAAAAACACAGGACTCATATCACCTTCCAGGTAGGTGCCGTGCAGCCAGCACCCATTTTGCACAGAGGAGGATAAACCATGTAGGCTCCACAGCACGCTCAGCCTGACACCCATAATAAACCCTCCTTGCATGGAGCCCAGGAAGGAACTTCATAGTCCCTCTACTCTTCCACATGTGAATTATACCTGGCTTGTCCTGAAGATAACCCCCACCCCTTCCCATGATAAACCATCCCACCTCCATGCAATGTAGCCAGACGAGTCCCTCACAACAACAGGTCCCCAGCCTCTCTCCTTGCCTGCCTGGCCTCTTCTGTCAACCCTCTTATCCCATGCATTGTACACAATCTAGCGACAACTCTTCCGTGTCCCTTGCCCCATACCCTCCTAGCAGCCCTGCACACCATCCCTACTGTACCCTCCTGGCATTTCACAACACACTGTTGATGAATTTGTGATTTTGTCCTAACCATTCAAGGGACCTTTTCAGTTCCTACCAGAATTAAGCACTAAGGATTTACTAGCTTTAAAGATGCAGGTCACTTTACTATGTTGAATATTTGCTTAATTGTCTAATGACTTTTCAGACAGTTCTGTAAGGTCTCTCTAAAGACATCTAGCAGCTTCCTGATGTTTATTTGGCAAATTTCTAGTCTTACGGCTTGGCTACACTGAATACCCCTCTATGTATCCTGTACTATACCAAACCTGGGCTTTCACAAACCCCTTCCTGCCCCTGCCCACACTCAGCCTGACACCTCATGAGAACTCAGGTCCTTTACAGTGGCAGTAGAGACCTCACAGTAACCAATGCTTGGTGAATATACGGTGACTGAATCTGCCCCAGGCATTCACCTGCAGAGGACATCTCAGAATAACACACTCCATACACCTACCCCAGGGCTCCCACACTCCACACTGATGCCATCACTTGCATACAGTAACATTACCTCCTTTCACCATTTTTCAGATGCACAAACTGACTCTGGGCACAGACAGAAGTGCAGCTCCCCTCCCCACTGTAACTGAGAGCGCTTTGCAGGAAATGCTATGAGGGTTACAACAGACACAACCATCCCCTGGAACAAACAGAAGTTCACTGTTGGTTCCGGGGAGGGGGGAAGATGGCTGTTGGCTGCAGCCTGCAGCTAGTTTCCCCTAGCAATGTCCCCTCCTCTCTCCCAGCTAGTCCCTGTTTCAGAATGTGGGGGTGGGGAGGGAGCAGGGGGAGCTCATTCTAGGGGTTCCCCAGCCAGCACTGGAGAGTGGGGTGGGTGAATTTGAGCCCCTCTCCACCTCATGGGGAGGGGGGGGGGGACTCCAATACAGCCACCCAGAGATGACCGTAGGGTGTGGGCCCTGGGGCAAATCAGCCTGTGCAGGACCCGAACGTGGCAGTGGGGGGTGGTGGTGAGCATCTAGATGCAAAGCCAGCCTGACTCCCTGGGCCCCACAAAGCACAGGACCTGGGGCAGTGCCCCTATTCGTACCCCCTTAGGGATGGCCCTAGAGCCACCCCACCCTTCAGAAAGGGCTGAACCCCCTCCCCCCCGACTGAACTCCCTCCACTCCTTTTCCCCCCTTCCATTCTGAGAACAGCCACAGACTGCCAGGCAGCACAGACAGAAGTTACAGAACATGCTCTGTTTTGAAATGTGTTCATCTGACCCAGCATGCAGATTTTCACCCAATTGGCCATTTTTAAAGCTATATGCAGCTGTGCACTTGTGTTTGATCATGCCTATAGGCCATTTTTTGTGGCCCAGTTGGGTGAAAATTGTCACTTCTGCCAACATGTCCCACAACAAAACTGATGCACTGGCACTGACTACTTGCATGATCCCCCACTTCCCCACTCCTGCTCAACTCCCATAGTCACCCACATGGTGGTAACAACATGGAAAACAATAGGAACCAAGTGACACAGCTGTGTCTCATGCCACACACAGCACATGGGCACTTCCCAAAGACCCTGGACACACAAATACACCAACATCTTGCACTAACCCTCCATATGCAGATTCTGGCACACCTTATCCCACAATGAGTATCTCCAGGGACACAGACATGTACACTGATAAACTATCTCAGAATACTTCTTATATGCAGTGACATAGTGATATGTCACAATAAACTTCTCCCCACTCATGTTGCCATGTCATAATGTCCTCCTCCTCCCCCACCCATTGGCATGTATCACAATAATCCTGGTTTCCTGGCCACACACTCCCTCCTGCCCCATGTCATAATAACCCCCTCCCTCTGCACACCAACCACAGTACCATGTCAGTAGACACCACTCTGGCACACATGCACCCCAAAGATAGGGTTTTTAGGCTATTCTATAGTGCCTCTCATATCCTTCTAATATCTATGCTCCTTCTAGTTATGCACTGAATGGCATAACTATAATACCTGTGCCGTGTAGTTTATTTTGCTCATCTCCCTGGGAGGTAATTGTGTCTGTGGGGCAGTGTTTGGGCAAGGGCTATTGTTGCTGTCATTTAGAAATACACCTGTGCTGCTCTGTGTTTCTGTTACCGAAGGCAGATTGGAAAAGTATACCTGCCAACTGTAGAGGCAGAGTAAAGTCTGTGGTAGCCATACAATCCCAGGCAGGTTCATTGCTCAATCTGGGACCAGCCCCTAGGGGAAAAGGGATTTACCTTACAGTGCCTAATGTTCTTTGAGATGTGCTGCCGTATACAGACACTGTAGGGGCACCTGCACCTCATGCCCCCAGCCTCAAAGATCTGTCAGTCAGCTGTGCTGTACCTTGCCCCTGCTTGGGCTTCAACTTTTCCTAGAGTGCAGAATGCTGGTGTGCAGGACACACGAGAAAGAGGAGACGGGAGGGTGAGCTGTGGAATTTGAACACAAGCAGTCCATCTGTGTAGGAGGCCACACGCACACAAAAACTACAGACAGGCAGATATGAATCATAGAAAATTAGGGTTGGAAGGGACGTCAGGAGGCCATCTAGTACAACTCCCTGCTCAAAGCAGGACCAGCCTCAACTAAATCTTCCCACCCAAGACTTTGTCTACCCAGGTATTAAAAACCTCCAAGGATGCAGATTC